GCGATTGCTAGTAGGCGCGATACACATTAAGTTGAAAAGCCTATATACATAGTTCCAAACCCGATCGTGGAATACGTATCGTTGACATCTAGAATATTGGCCCCCTTTACCCATCCAATGCAACAATTCTCATAAGAAGAGTCGGAAACAACAGTGGGTTGTTTGGCTAGGATGTGTCTAAGTAATGTGTAAGCTCTCAGCAGACTCGTAGGTCGGCTTCGCCCAATTTTGCACCCAGTGAGACTCAAGGACCTGTTGCGCTGAAGGTCGATCGTGTGGTCGAAATGATAACATTGACCTCATGAGCTTGGCGAAAGACTCCTTCTCCTCCTCGTCCATCACGACCACCTTTCTTTTGTTTCTTGGTTCTTGTATTAACTGCTCCAGAAGATCTTCCAATGATTGATAATTCAATCCTCTAAGGCTTCGCAGTTGATCGTCAAAATACTGGCTGCGATTCGCCCATCTCAGCCACAAGTCTTGAGGTAACTGTCCCAAAGCAGCGACTTGATATTCTAAGACTTGGTCGTTACTCGGGAACCATTCATAGAACGGGGCACGTTGACCCATGATGCTGAGCACTGCGCATCCGAGACTCCATATCTCTGCAGGGAATGAAAATTGCGACACTGGGTCCAACAGCATCTCTGGAGGCCTTAGCATCAAGGGTGTGTGGGACGATTTTTGCACGTGAGATCCTGGCTGGAAGGATTCGCCAAAGTCGTTCAGGAAAATCCGGGAGTCGGCGAGCGAGAGCTTGTCACTGCGGCCCCCAAGCCAGATTGGTACGACACCATTGTCAGGCACCCAATGATCCAGAGGTCGTCCATCTACCCGTTCAACCGCTTCGAGCGTGGGTTCTCCATATCTTTCGTATATTTGATCTGGTGTAAGATTATCGATGGTATTGGGAAGGCGCAGAAGGATATTTGCTTCATGCAGATCTAGATTCACCGTCAGCAAATTGATAAGCTACCCATATTATCTATTCCATCACATACCTCCATGAACTATCCCACGAGAGTGCATGAATGCGACTGCCTGAACAATCTGAGCAGCTATCGCTCGAGCTACTGGGAGCTGATAATAACGGTAAGGGGACGCCTCTCGCGCTTCGGCAATGCTTGTCATTGCAGGTGTCGTGACAAGACAGCGGTGCTTTCTCTTCGTACCACGTATCTCTGGACCTTCCACTTCAAATTCACCCAGAAGCTCTGGAAACAGGGTAGCACCGATGTGTTCTTCGCTACCGCGTCTTCCCTCGTCCCACAAAGCCTTCAAGATGGTACTCTCGGACGGACGGTCTAGCCCTGATACACAGAACTTGATAGCAACATACTTTGCCAGAATCTCATCACGTGCTAGCCATATAGTTGAATAAGACCCATGGCCTAGTTTATGCACGATGTGATAGCGGGCTGAGCAGAAACGCTCGCCAATTCGCACCGGATAGTAATCTCCGACAGTGTAACGCTCGAAGGGTTCGATATCTTCCATTGGCTTGTACCTCGGGAAGGAAGACTCTGGGTTAGGCTCGTGATCCGACATTGGTTCTGTATAATCGCCGGACGATGTGTACCTTCGAGAAGTAGTGTGTAAAGCAGTGAATATATTGCATGCAAAGCGACGAGGCAAGCAAAATCGTGTATGAAAAGCTGATCGAGAGAACAAGCTTATCAACATTGCGAAGGCTTTTATCACTGACTGTAGCCGTAGAGTTAGTCATAAGAGTAGGCGCTTCCATGGATGTAGGGTCTTTACAAACGCGATCGACATCAGGAGCTCATGACCAGGCCAACCGGGGCCTGGCTCGGGTGCACTAGCGTCAGGACCCACCGCCAACCGCAGACTCCCGAGGTCGCGACAAATGTGGCCGACAGCCCTTCCATACCTTCGGTTTTAATACACTTCCCTCTTTGCGTTCAGGAATACTACTCTAATGGCTTTGGATATGTTTCGGCCATTCCAAGGTTGGTTTGCAGTAGGTAACTGTGGTTTAACGCCGCCTGGATTTCCATTGCCTTCACCCCCAGGCGCAGGTCTAGGGATACGCACAAGTACTCTGTGTTAGCATGCTGTATATATGCACAGGAACTCGGAATTCATCCTCATGCTCTCTATTTAGAGGCGGTACGCAACCCCATTGTTCTCCCTGTATCCTGAGCTCTAAGTTGCGGCACAGTCACTTGTGTTCTCGCACAGCCTCATTGTCCCGCATGTACCACAATGTCACCAGCGTTGACTCCCGCAGAGTAACAACCTGCCCTCTATTATGACTGTTTAAAGCAGTCATACTGAAAGCGACACTGACAGTCATGCGATCGCTTTGCCAGCCCGTTGCATTGCTTTCCGTTTCCCCTCTAGGTGTCGCTAGTCTGGGATTATCCTAGTACAATGAGGTCAAATCTGATGGCTTTCGCGAGAAGGCCCGCATTCAACTCAGACTGTCCATACGACCGATTTCCATTGCGCCTAAGTCTCTTGGTTAAGACTCCCACAGTGCATACTGTCTACATATCAATCGCACATCGATCTTGTACTCGCTATGTTGACCTTCCATGACAGCATTCAAATATCACGACATGATAGTGACAACCCAGTATGCTAGGTGCCAGTCGCTTTGAACATCAACCCGCCCAATTGATGTGTGGTCCTCCGTACTCCAGATTGAGAGCTTCACCGTGGAATCTTTTGTATGATATTTTTGAGTGTACTGGAATGAGTTTGCGGCCTGTTTTAAGCAAGCGTAAGATCTCATCCATCGTTAGCATTAGTTATCTATTGACTATAAGAATTTCTCAGTATCTTCAGTTACTATCGTACCGCGGCCTGGTTGATCATCTCCCGGGGCCCTCCATTACGTTCCTAACACGATGTGGGTATCACACCTTCCCCGGCAGCTCAGCAGGCACCATATTCACAGCATGTCCTTCAGATATCTCAACTGGACCATGGCTGCTGTCCCATTGATACCCCTTCTGTATATATCGCGAATTGTGTGTGCTCAATTCAGCGTTGTGTGTGAGGTCATCGTGAGGATCGTAGATGTATCCTGGGGGCTGTACCGTCGGTTCTGTAGCACCACGCTTCCTCCGAATGAGCACGACACCAAGGATAGTCAAACAGATCACTGTGAGCCCTCCTACCACTCCTCCTACTATCGGCCCAATGCTTGTTGACTTTTGTTCGGAAGCCGGGGCTGTCGGATTCGATGTTGATGACGGTAAAGGTAAGTCGGATAAGATACTGGCGCTCGAAGTGAGGGGCGTGGTACTCTGGATAGCGGAGTTCGATGGTGGCGATGTTGAAGCAACAGGGGAGATGCTGCTGCTCGTGCTGGAAGCGGATGTTGTCGTTGCTTCCACCGCGTTCGGGACGGCGAGAAGACTGTCTGTCCTCGCTTTATTTCCGCAGGCAATGTATTCGAATGATTGATCTGGGCCATTAATCAAGAGCACCGTAGAACAAAACTGCTTGGCTTCGCTAGAACACTGTGTTAGAGGGCCTCCTTGCACTATCTCTGAAGCCATGGAGCAACTGACCAAGAAAAGGTGGTGATATCTGATCGATCAGATAGCCTTCCACAACCAGCCGTACAAGAGTGCTCATCTACGCACATGCCAGCTAAACCGCAGTCTTTGGCCGATATCACACTCGTTGGACAAAATCCCCAGAGGCCGTTCGCGGTGTCGACACGGCATCCATAGCCGGGGTCAGCAGTTCGAGGACTCTGGGCATCGCCGTCAACGTAGCCACAAGTAGTGATAGGTGCGAAGGCTTGTCGTTCAAACATCCGTTCGTGAGCGTGAGATGCTAGCTCTGTCGCGTTTGGTCCTAAGGGCCCGATTCGGCTGCGAATTATGGCAGGGCTTGGAGAAACCAGCTCCATAGAGGTCAAGACGACAAGGATGATCAACCTGAACATCTCTCAAAGTGAAATGTTGAAACGAATGACGACGCGTAGAGCAATAGACGAAAGAAGAGATACGGGTACCTGCGACACAAAGAAACACGCAGTTTATGGCATCCCCCAACCGTGCCGCAAATCCACAGTCGCTGGGCGCGCGAAATGAGCCATTGTCTGTACTACCTCTATGCAGCCACTGTTTCATGGGGCGAAGATGTCGGGATATTTTTAGGGTGCAGGCGGCTTCCGAGAGTAGAGAGTGGCGCTATCTGAGTAAGACGGGTATTTAGACGCACTGAGAGGTGCAATCGGCAATTGGCGTGGAAGCTTGTCTTGGCAGCCAGTGCGTGACGCCGTTCCAGCGCGTTCGTTATTGTGATAAACGCTTGGGCCCGCCTGCCGAGGTGCGTCATTGGTTGCCGTGCCCCGCGGCCTTTGCTAAGCGCCTACTCATCTCCCACGCGGGACGGTACGAAACCGCAACTATGCACCGTGCACTCTGCAGGATGCGGCGCAGTCTCGCAGCGCCAACTTCATCCACTTCCAGTCACTCAGGAATCGCCCCTCGAACCGACTTCAGCGGCTCAACTGTTGCTCGATCTCGCCCCGGTCCTTTTCCTCCTCGCCACTCTCGACTTCTACAATGGCAGCATTTTCACGGAGCTTGCGATCGCTCCTGCAGGCAATCGCGTTGCTCAGTGTCATCTTCTTACTTATAGCTGGATTTGGGTTCCTTAACCTATCGCATATCAAACCCATCGTCACTGGAATACTTAAGCCGTCTCCTGCAGCTACTCCTGTGGCTGATCCTCCAACAACCCCGCAACCTCCCGAGCGCGTCGATAACAGCGACGGTAGTCCTGAGCCATCAGCAAACGACAATATCACTGCCATTATCCATTCAATCCTGTCACCATCGGATTCAAAATCGGGCTTAGAATGTCCTCCATTCAATAAAGATCGTTATGCCTACTTGGGAGGAGGCTCTTCTGGATCCCTCCAAAGCGGGCGACTCCCACGATATTTCTTTGCATTGGACTTACATCAATGTGTCCATCTCCTTCCGCAATTGATTGGTTCCATCGTAGAAACCATGTACTTTCTCGGGCCACAGAACTGCGTCCTTTCCATAGTCGAAGGAAGATCCGACGATGGCACCTTTGAAGTACTTAACCAGCTCAGCGCTAGCATGGCGCTCCTTGGAATTAGATACCACTTCAAATCGAGCGACATCAACCCTTTGGCCAAAGGAGGAGACCGTATCGAAGGCCTTGCAAAGCTCCGCAACCTAGCCGTGAGAGACCTTATCGCACATCCGGAGCATTACGACGAGGACACCACGGTGATTTTTTCCAACGACATAAGTTTGTGTATGGAAGACATCCTGGAAATAATACATCAGCGGAAGTTCCAGGGAGCCGATCAGACATGTGCCATGGACTGGACATACGTTGGTGACAACCCGACTTTCTATGACGTTTGGGTAAGTTCTGACTGTACGAAGTGCATGTGAGATATATACTGACTTCGTATCTCTACCTCTGCAGATCGCTCGCGGCAAGTTTTGACTGTACGAAGTGCATGTGAGACATATACTGACTGAGTATACCCATTTCTAGGAATGACTGGGGACCTATTCTTCAATATCCCGGAAGACGGATCATGGGATAATGCCTGGAACCTCTTCCATAATGACCCTAAGGCACACGCGCGCTGGTCGAGCTCAAAACCATTCCAGGTGTTCGCATGCTGGAACGGCATAACAGCCTTCACCGCGAAACCGCTCATGGAGAAGAAGATCAAGTTTCGGGCGCATAAGGAGGGCGAGTGTTTCCAAGGCGAGCCGAAGTTGTTCGCCAAGGACATGTGGTTCAACGGCTATGGCAAGATTGCTGTAGTACCAAGCGTTAATGTCGAGTACAGGTAAGTTACGACTGTACGAACTGCATATGAGGCATTTACTGACTTCGTGGCGCAGCAATGAGGCAACTCAGAAGATAAAAAACCTAAAAGGTAAGTTTGACTGTACGAAGTGCATATGAGACATATGCTAACATCGTCCCTCTATCTCTACAGGCTATACATCTAAGCATGTTGCCAATGAAGGAGATACAAAGATCGAGTGGGAAACATCACCTCCAGCAAAGGTGAAGTGTATGCCGGACTATCGACATCAAACGTTTGTTGCTTGGGACGAGGGGCTGAGGCAGTAATGTAATCAGAAATGAAATATTAATACCCGCAAAGACTGTGATGGTGATATCTTTCATGCTCCATGCATACTACTCTGACTATGTTGTACGCTACACCCTTCTTGTAATCACCACACGTATGTCGTTGGTCGGCTTTCTAACTCCGGTTCCTGGAACCTTGCCCGGAAGCTTCCATGCCCCGTCCGCTGGGCCAACGTCCCACATTGCAATGATAGCAACAGCTAATGTCACGATCTCCTTCTCAGCAAATATCCTTCCTTTACAGATTGCAGAGCCAGATCCCCATGGCTTCAGTCGTCCATATCGAGCAGTAAGCTTCCCGGATGACGGGTCCAGCTCCAGAAATCGTCCAGGGTCAAACTTATCGGGATCGCTGTAGATGGAAGCATCGCGGTTCACCAGAGAATAAGGTACAGACACAAATGTACCTGGCTTGAGTTCATGTCTCAATTCTCCGTCCGTAACGTGAACTGAGCTTGAACCGACAGACCTAATGGACCTAAGATGTGGGTTTACGAGGTCAGTAAATGTCTCACATGAAGTTCGAATGGGGAAACAAACGTTGGTTCGTTTACAAGACGGTAGGTCTCGTAAATACACGCCTTCAGCAACGGACAATCCCTTGACAAGCCTCGCATATCCAGCGATATCAATTCTCTGGGGATGGTCGAGGACATCGTAACATATGGGGTCAGTTCCTCGCGGAGTTGCTCCAAGATCTCGGGCGTGGAATATACGTAGGTTAACAGCCAAAAGAGGAGTGGTTGCGTGTTCGCATTCTGACCCCAAAGGAGTCCAAGGTCTCCAGCACCACGCTCAGGGAAGGACCAACCTTCCCTCCTGTAGACATTGTTCCTTCCCAATGCTGTTTCACCGACGTCGCGCATATCAGCGTCGAAATCGACAGGATCTCCCTGCTGGTGCTGGTCGATTCGGCGATACAAAGCCTCGAGTTCAGTGATGAGACGGGTCCGCGCAGCGAGACCCTCTTTCAACACTTTCAAAGGAGCCCACAGTGGCAGCCCAATCATTAAAAGGGGAAAGAGATCGTTATCAAACTTCCACAGATCCTCTAGTGCCTGTGGATATCGATCGAGGAAATCGCGACCGTATAGCTGTGGGATAGCGATGCAGGCACCAAAGTCTCGAACCAAGCTTTGGAAATTTGCCTCCACTTTCTCAACACCACTGGATTCAGGGTTGATCACCCGAATTTGTGCCGAATGCTCCCACAACTCCATGTCGCGAGGATTAGACTGGAAGGTCACGAAGGACTTCACTTTTTCGGGTATGCAGGCTTTCTCCAAAGCAGCAGTGGCAGCGTTCTCGTTCATGAAGACTTTCTCGATGGGTGTTCGTAGATCCCTGTTTGAAGCGTCCAGCTTTTCTTTGAATTGCAGTGAGTCTACGCCACCGAATACACGGACGAGAAGGGTGTACTGAGACGGCAAAGGATCTAAGATGGATTTTGCCATCAACCGTGTGATGTGCGGCGAATCGATGAGTATTTGGTGTTTTGATGAGAGCCCAACAAGAGATCCACTGTTTCGCCGCAGCAACATTCTACAAACGCGGACATGAGTATTATCTCTATATGAATAAAGCTTCATGGTACTCACAGAATACGGCGACCCAATCCGTTCTCGGAGAAAAGATGCGAAGTTAACCCAATCTCAAGTGTTGCCCAGACGGGAAACAGCTGGTATGGTTTCGGTTTCGATGCCACTCGATCGATAAAGATGACGATGAGGATGATAATGGCCACAGCAATGACACCAGTGTTCGCTGCCGCTTTCCAGCCCGCTAGCTGGGAGGCATCGGCATGCGATGAGTGCATTGTGTTTCCCATAGCCGGACGACTGACGAGCGTTTCCTATATGGTCGCTTTTATAGCGTTGGATGTGCGTGGCCTGGTGTTGCGATCGTATGGTATTGAAGGAGAAGCTGTGACTAGGTTTTGGTGTCGGGTGTGCAGGCTTGATAAACCGGCCTCGGACACGTTTCAGCCGTATCAGCCGTATTACTCCAGGGCTGTACCTATTGCTGATGGCCTTGGCGTCTCGTAAGGTTCAAATATTCACGGCGCGGCAACAGGAGGCTCCGAGTGCCGGCGGTTGTAGCGGCGCGTGGTGGTGCTGCTGCTCTGCTCGACGTTGATGTTGTCTCCCGTTGGTTACGCCTCTGACTGTACAACTGGTTCCTGCATACGTGGAAAGCTAGCTCTACGTGCCTGTCGCACCTTGAATGTGGTCGAGACGGTATGATTTGACGAGAGAAATGGCACGAGATCGAATAGCCTGTCAGCAGCCACCGGGTCCGCGTCGCAAGCGGGCAACGTAAGGAAATTAGGCAACCACGACAGGACGCGAAAATTCAGAGGGTGTAAGTATTCGCAACACGTTCGACTGCCATATCTGCCCAGAGACCTTCCACGACAAAGTGAGCCTAAAGGAACACAATAAAGCGGTACACGCATTGCCCGCCGTAGAGGAGAAACTTAGGTCTACTCCCAACCACGAGTGCAATTACTGCGGCAGGAACTTTCGGACCCGGAAGAGGATGAACATTCATATCGAGTTCCGATGCCCGACTGCGCCCAACAAGAATGCTAAGATACGGCGGGAGATCCAAGAGATTGAAGAGGCCCTCCCAACCATCGATCGCATTGACAAGCCCATGTACCAGAACCTCTTAACGACGCTGTACCAGCAGCTATCGGATGAGAACCTAACCGACCAGCACCAAGGGCCGCCTGACTCGGATGAGGACATGTCAGACTCGGATGAGGATATGTCAGACTCGGATGAGGATATGTCAGACTCGGATGAGGACCCAACCGACCAGCACCAAGGAACGTCTCACTCTGACCTAGAACCGCCTCGCATAGATCCACTACACCAAGAGCTCTCGCCAGACCAAGTAATCGCATTGATGTCCGCCTCATTCCCTGGTCTCTCTCCAGCATCGCCAGACATTGCAGAGCTATTGAGATCGATCAAAAAGCACATGCAAACTGCGCCACCTCTGCACATCCCTGAGATCCTGGAGTCGCCGTCCACATGGCCCTCTACAAATGCCATCGTCGACGCCCTCTGGGCAGAGGCGTCACATGATGAATGCAGAGTAGCATTGTCGTCGGTCCCTACCACGGGGTTAGACATGCGGCCGGACTACCTTGTCAAGCCCTTCGGGTCGCCGGAAGACCCGCTGATGGTCATGAACTCCTACCCGACAAGCGACCCGACAAGTTCACTTCACATGTCGTACAGCACTATCAATGATATGTCCAACCAGTCCATCGCTGTGCTATTGATTAAACTCGGATACAATGTCGCTAATGTTCGCACAACCGGCGTGTTTATGGTGGACCTCTTCTCCCGACGCCTCGACAGGAAGCGGATGATTGGTCTCTCTGAAAGGTCCTAGACAGCGTACCCAACCAGCTTCGCCTATACTGGCAGACTTTTGCGTTTATCTGTCTCGACAAGTCTACCGCTCGAGTCCTCTTGGTAGTAGGAGGGACAGCGTTCCGGGACTACTGCCAGTACCTGAAAGAGCGAGGCAGGACAGCAAAGGTCCTATATTTGTCCGGCATCCAACGCTACAAAGCAGAAATCCCGGGAGCAATGCTAGAGTACTACGACAACAGCCCAACTACAGTTCGTCGCATTGCCATCATCACGTTCCACCCCGAGCGCTTCAAACGAGAAAAGAGTCATACAAAGTCAAGCCGAGACGACGACATGGCGATCCGCGAACGCCTAATTGACTATGCGCTAACAATTCTATACGGGCAGCCCAACGTGCAAGGCTTCCTCTCCACATCCGCATACCACTTCAACCTCCGCTCAGGAGCGCTTATACGAAAGGACATCATCGCCAAAGGAGGGAGCGCCCTGTCCTCATATCTCAAGCTACCCCTAGTGCTTTATGATCCGCTGGACACATTCCGTATCTCCATGAAGACGCTTCAGAGGCCATTGTCGAAAGACGCCATTGCGAGGATAAGTGTGCTTATCATGGATGCCGATGAGGCACTCAATTGGCTCGACCGCCCAGAACTCCAAGCCATCTATGGGCCCTACGTCGCAACCTACAAGGCGTCTGTAATACAGACAGAGGATATGAGAGTAAGGCGGGGTCTGAAGCAGGTAGAGAGAGTAGAAGGCAGGCACAAGAGTGAAGATCGGCGTAAGAGTCTAAGAAAGGCCTTGGACGACGAATTTGGACCGCCAGCTAAGCGGCACCAGAGCGTTTTCGAGCAAGACCAACGGCGACGACTGTACACTCAGACATTCTGAGATTAGCAACATTTTTGGGGGAAATAGAAAGACCAACACACGGGGATGTACAGGACCGCAAGCACCAATTCGACCGAGAAGGTGTGCTTCGTATTGGGGTATCATAGTAGAATGTGAAATGGCAAGACTGCGGCTCACGCAGCTTCTTTGCCCTCATCTGCGACGGTCGACTTGTCCTCCACTTCAGTCTCTCCGTCCTTGAACAGCTCCTGGCCCAGCTCTTCCAGAAACTTCTCCGCCTGCCCTTTGCTCCTCTTCTCCTGTATGGCCCTCTTCTTTTCTCTGACCATGGCTTTTCTCTTCTCCACGGCCTCTTTGCGCTCCTGCCTTACGCGCTCAGTATCTTCCCTGTCCTTCTCAATCCGTCTCATCTGTTCTTGCCGTTCCTCCTCGTCCTTGGAAAAGTTGAAGAAGCCCATGCCGCGCTGCCTGACCTCGGCTCTGCCGTCAAAGTGTACCTCGGGTGGCGGCGTAAGTTCTTTGTCGCGCTTGGCGGCTAGGTCAGCCATTTGCTGGGCGATGGTCTCGTCGGGGTTGAAGGCGTGTGTTTGTACGGTGTCGCCGAAGATGATGTT